CCTTGCAGGAGGCCCAGGATGGCGGAGAGACCGGAGGACCTGAACCTGCCCAACGCCGTCATCACCCGCATCATCAAGGAGGCGGTGGGTGCCGGGCCCCGCGGCCCAGCGGAGCGGGGCAGCTGCAGACCCCGGCCAAGGGAGATCCCGGTCCCGGTGCTGTGTTCCGGCCCGCGGGGCTCTGCCCTGGGCCGGCTCCCCCGGCCACCGCGGCTGCAGCACTCGCAGCAGTGCCCCAAGGGATGCTGAACCAGTGCAGCTCCCACAGTGGCACTGCCAGAACCCCAAAACCTCAGCACACAAGTTCATGTCTATATAAAAAACCAGAATAATCCCCAGTGGCTAATTTAGTACGTTTGGTCTGGAGCTGTGAGGTGCTGCTGAGTGGATCTGGGCCGAGCAGGCATGTCAGGAGCTGGGTATAGTCACAGGATGAGTTACCTGGAGACAGCAGTTCCCAGTTCTGAGTGCCTTAACAAACTGACACGTGAATTATGTGAGTTTAAGTCGTTTTTAGCAGCTGCTGATAAAAGTTGGATTTGTTTTTCAGCTTCCTGATGGAGTCAATATTTCCAAAGAAGCCCGGAGCGCGATCTCCCGAGCAGCGAGCGTGTTTGTGCTGTATGCAACATCATGGTAAGGGCTTGGTGCAGCAGACACTGGGCCACTGGACTGATAATTCACCTCTGCTGGCCTGAGGACTGTTTTCCCAGTGTTGGTTTCTGTATTGTCTGTTTATATAAATAAATATAAATATATAAATAAACCAGGCTGCCAGGCTGCACCAGGTGGGTTTGGACTGCCCAGAGAAGCCCATAGGAAGATAGCTGGGCTCTGGAGACAGCCATGTCCCAAAAAGAGGGGTCCCAAACTGCCATTAACCATAGAGTGTGGCTGTACAGCCTTCCTGGCAAAGGCAGGAGCACTTGATTCACTTTCAGGCTCTTCATCACCAAGCTCTATGAGGGCAAGAGCTGCCACAGAGGTCACAGTCACATTTTTGGGATGCCTTGGCATATTCTGTGCAGGCAGTCACTTTTCTAGTGCCAGGTTTTTCCAGGGCTGTGTAGAACTGTCACAGACAAGGTTCAGGCTTTCTCCTTCTGCTTGTAGAAAAGGTCTGTGCAAGCAGAAATTAACAGTGTGGGAAAGCACAGACAGCCAGTGTAACAAAAATGTCTCAAACCTTCTCTAGTAAATGATAAAAAGTACCCTAAATGTTTAGGGGATGGCTTTTCTAAGTTGCTGATGATGCTAACAGTTCCAAATTACCTCTCTTTTTTGGTTCTGCCTAGTGCAAATAACTTTGCCATGAAGGGGAAGAGGAAAACCCTGAATGCTGGGGACGTGCTCTCTGCCATGGAGGAGATGGAGTTCCAGAGATTCGTGGCCCCTCTGAAGGAATCCCTGGAAGGTACTGTGCACCGTGGGTGTGCAGGGGCTGAGAGGCACCGAGTCCTGTTCTCCTCAAATGCTGGACAAGCAACACTTATTGCCTGTCTTGTTTCTCTTCTCTTTGCCCAGCATCCTACACTGCAGTTTGCCTGGGGAATAACTAATGTGCACCTTAACGGGACTGGGATAACATTATTGCACAACTGATGAGGATTGAGAAAGTCTCATCTGCTCTCACTCCCCTATTATGTTTATCTAAGGAAAGCCGTAGGTGCTGCCTGTAAATGTGACCTCCTGCGTCCTTTTCAGCATTTTTCTGCTGAAATTTAACCTGATTTCCTATGGAGCTGCTCAGCACAGCTCAGCTCGTAGGGTGAGTTGTGCTCTGAGTTCCCTGCTCCCCTCAAAAGCCGGGAGAGCAAGTGGATGTTGGACCTCAGCCACTGACATGTCCATGCCAGCACCCTCCCCTCACTGTTCCCTCTCCTCCAGTTTACAGGCGCGAGCAGAAAGGAAAGAAAGAGGCCAGGAAAGATAAAGACAAGAAGGCAGACTCGGAGGAGCAAGATAAGAGCCGAGAGGAGGACAATGATGACGATGATGAAAGGATGGACGAGGAAGAACAAAACGATGAGGATGAGGTGGACAACTGAGCTGGCTCCTGGGCAGGGGCTGGGGTGTGCTCAGAGGGGTATAAACGCTGTAAATCAACCTTGCTGTGTCCCCTCGTGTTTCCATTGGAGCTTTGTGCTGCCCCTCCGTGGCCTGTCCCTTCTGGCCTGTCATTTGTACATAAAGGACTCGTGCTGAAGCTTTTCCTGTGGAGGGTGGCTTCTCCCTGTGCCTGGGGGGCTTTGGGCAGGCACTGCCTGGGCTTTCAATGCTGGGCTGGCTCTGAAAGAGAGGAAAAAAGAACTGGTGGGTGCTCCATGCAGAAACTGGCCAGGAGAACATGGAACTGTTGAATATGAGGGGCTGAATGCAGTAGGTGATTCACAGATCACATCTGGGGTGTAGAATGTAGGGGATGATGTCCAGAGGTGTGGAAGGTGTACATTGCAGCTTTTGATCCAAGGGAGTTGTTTTTTTCCCCTTTGTTTCTTTGCGTCCTGGCTGTGCCTTCTCTCCCTGCTGTTCTGTGGGGGTGATGCTGTGTCCTTCAGCCTGAGCAGCAGCAATGTACAGGGACCCTGAGCTCACTCACTGACTCACCCAAACTAACCCAAATCCGAAAAACACCCAGTGCTGAGGGTGTAAACTGTACACTGAAAGTGTCTTTGAGAGCCCTGAGAGACAAAGAGGAGATTGATTTAAAATCTGAAGCACAGTGAGGGGCTGGAAAGAGGAGCAGGGCTGAAAACAGGTGGCTTTGTGCAGTGCTGGGGGTGTGACAGGTCCCGGGTGGCACTGGGGTCTGCTGGTCTCGCTGTCCCCATGAGCAGCAGCTCCTGCAGCAAGGGTGCCCACCCAGGGGGCCCACGTGGTTTCAAAAAAGGCTCCTGCAAGAAAGAAGGGTTGAGAGAAGCTGTTGGTGTCCCTTGTGCTGGTGTAGGTCTGTACTTTTCCACTTGGACCCGTAGTTCTGATGCCTTTCCCCCTCAGCAAGTTTTAGGTACATTTAAACCCCCCCAGTTTTGGTGATGTGCAGTTTTAAAATAGCACTTGTGAGGAATCCTGGATCCTTTCCACCAATAAATGGTGGCAGCTACCCACAGGAGCCACCCTGCCTTGCTGCTTTTCTGGCACGCTGGATTTTCACACACACACAAGCCCAGCTTCTGAAAAGAACTGAACCAACACAGATTTTCTGCTGTCTAGTTTCTGCTGGTGTTCAGTCAGGCTGTGGAAAGCCTGAGCTGATGATGTGTTCCAAATACCTCTGATCCAAACACCCCCCTTCCAGCTCTTTTCCTCTCTTTTTTCTCTTCAGCACATATCTGGGGTGCATATTCCAGAAGGGAACAAGATTTAAATAAAAGCCAGATTTTTTTTTACAGAAATGGAGTCTTGTATTTCGGTCAGTTATAAAATGAGCAGGTTGTGGTTGTGTGAGATGGGAGCCAAGGCAGCAGGAAATGCTCTGGGAAATGGAGGAGGATGAGGGGAGGATGAAGGCTGCTGCAGCCTGGCCTCTGTGTGAGAGGAGGGAGGGAATCTGGAGACTGGAAAGAAGCCAGGGCGTTTCCAGGTCGCTGATGTTTGCTGGGGGAAGGAGTTTCAGCTCACCCTCGCTCCAGGGAGAGGTTCTAGGCTGGGGGAAAGATCCAGGATCTGGATCCAGGGTTTCTGCACTGGGGTGAGCCAGGGAATGATGCTGTGGTGGGGGAGCTGCAGAATGTCCCACACTAAACCCGATCCTGCCATCTGTGAAAAACGAGGTTCACATAATCTTTATAGAATTTAAAAATTTAATAAAAAAACAATTAGGAGAAAAAAATAAAGTATACAGATACAGCCAGGTGTCTCTGCATTCAGCCAAGAGAGCACACCTTACTAACAAAGGATTAAAAACAGAACCCTGCTACATATCCATAAATTCTCATACATATTCATACATTCTTCTTAGGATCTTTGGTGTTCTTCTGTTTAGTTTTCTCTTGCCCCCTTCCCAATAGATCAATCTTGGTGCCATCGAGATTTACATTCCCTGATACCAGAAATGCAATAAATTCCTCCCCCCAGAGTTCTGGTCACTGCTATCTTCATCTGGATCAGAGAGTTTACAAAAGGAAAAAAAATGTCTCCAGCTATCTTTTTCAGTCTTTGGGTTACACAAACAAAAGCAGTTTTTGTTTTACTGCTATGCCATAGCTTATCATACATGTATTATACCACTATTTCTAAGTTTCATTAATAACATAAATAAAGACTATATTATGACAGATAAATTTCCTAATCTTATAATATTCATTATAATACTTGCGAAAAGCCAATAATATATATTATATATAAATATATATAATCTATATAATATATTAATGATATGCATTTATAACACATCTCTCCATCTCAAGGCCGGGGCCTGGCAGACCCCAGCACCCAAAAGCCCGGCTCCAGGCGCCCCTACAGCTCCCCGGAACGGGACTGCTTGGCCCCAGCACCCCGAGGCCGTGCCCCAGGCGGGCTCATCCCTGCTGCAGACCCCAAATCCCCCAAATCCCCCAAATCCCTCAAATCCCCCAATCCCCCAATCCCCCAAT